ACAGTCCCTCCCTGGGGTCTCCTCCTAGGTGGACATACCCAGATAACCTCCAAACCATTTAATAAGTAAAAATGTTATATTTAAACATTTTATTGTGACTGGATCAGTTCATTCAGACTGATGCAGTTATATGAGGGATTTTTGTTTTAAGTCTAACAGTAAAAGGTTTATTGTAGTTACTCCAGTGCAGGGAGTCTGGTCAAACTCTTTATCCAAACAGTTTGAATCATAATTCTTCCAAATTATGATTTTAAAAATAAATCCAATCAGCAACAATCTGGTTTCTGACTACCTCCATCCTCCGAGAGGTCTTCTGGATTAGTTGTAGTACCCAGAATCACCACTAGATGGCAGCTCGCGTATAATAGCTTTTTTTTTTTTTTTATATTAAAGAGTTTATATCCCAGGAAAATTACTTCAGTGATCTAAATAAAGACACCTCCGTTCATTTAACTGACTTAAAAGAACAGAACTAACTTGTTAATGTTGGGAGAGTAAAGCTTCTACTTTTAATTTATGTTCATACTTCATATGCCTTTGACATCATCCAGTCAGATTTGTTCCGTCTCAAACTTGTCCTAAGTGCCAATAAAACCAAAGGGATGCTTTTTTCAAACAGGAAGTCGGTCCCAGCAGTTCTTCCTCTGATTTTATCCTCTAATGGTGTCCCCATTGAGTTTGTTGATTCCTAAATATTTGAGTATCTTGGTCGACTCACATCTCTCTTTTAAACTCCTTGTGGAAAACCTAGTAAAGAAACTGGGTTTATTTTTCAGAAACAGATCCTGTCTAACTCTGAACGTTAGGAAACACCTTGTATCTGTGACTTTCCTTCCCTCCATTGACTACAGTGACATTATTTACATGAACGCTCCTACAAGAACCCTGCAGATGTTGGATGCTGCAGATGTTGGATGCTGTCTATCATGGTGCACTAAGATTCATAACTGGATGTAACTAACGTACCCACCATTACACCCAGTATTCACTGCTTAACTGGTCATTAACTTCACACAGACTCTCCCACTGGTACATTTTCATCTTTAAATCTCTTCTTGGTCTGCTGCCTTCATACATCTCCTCCTACATGTCTCTGCGTGAGTGCAGCTACAGCGTGCGCTCTCAGGACATCATTACCTGCAGTGTTCCCTCAGTGAGGGCTGAACTAGACAAAAGGGCCTTCTCCTACTCCGCTCCTGTTTCCTGGAATATCTGACAAAAAGATCTGAAGCTCTCGACCTTTGACCTCTCTAAGTGGCTTCAAACATCTGTTAAGTTCCTGACAAGAACCAACGCAGACATGTTCCTGTTTTCAGTTTCTACACCGCCTTTATAATCTAGCTGGGGTTGCGTTTTTTTTTGCTACTTTTTCCTTTTGGTTGCTATTTTGTTTTGATTTGTTTAAAAAAAAAATTTAATCTGTATGCCTCTTTTGCGAATGTCTATTGTTGTTGTTGTCATCACTTTTTGTTGAAATCAGGTCTCTCTTGTAAATGAGTCCCCGAGGCTCAATGGGATTAACCTGTCTACATAAAGGTTGAATGAATATGCAGCATGTAAATTTACTAAGCAACACATCTGGAGTCATATCATAAATCCACACAAATATAAGTTAAATATTTCATCTGATCCACAGCAGCTGCAGCCAGTCTGCATTAAAAACAGGTTTGTTCATACTCGCCTGTTTCAGCCTGTGAGCACAGAAATCCTCCTACGAAGCAAATTGCTGCCTGTTCCAGACTTCCTCCTCTCTTCCTCCTCTCTTCCTCCTCTCTTCCTCCTCTCTTCCTCCTCTCTTCCTCCTCTTCTTCTTGTGTTTCAGGTTTTCTTCCAACAGTCTCAGCTTTTCTGAGCCCTGAGGTTAAAAACGATCAATATGACACTGCTGTAAAATCTTTTCACCACCAGTAATTGTCATTTTGACAGAAACATTAAAACTAGGGCTGCACCGATTGCAGTTTTCTGGCCGATCACCGATTTCTGAAAAGTCTGACCTGCCAATTCTGATTTTGGTCGATACTGATTTAGTTTTATAAGAAACACTGTCAGGTGTTATAAGGTCACAACACACCTTCAATTTTCCAATCTTATTGTATTGAAAAATGCCCTTGAACAATAGAAACAAAACTTGTTTTAACTGACCATGAGCTCGTGCTCTGAACTATAAATGACCTTTAGACAATTGTTGTTAAAACAAAAAATCGGTAAAATCGGTTTTTCATGCAAGTATTGGACAATTTCCCAAAATTAAGGACATGGGGGCTGATTTATCGGTGCGCCCCTAATTAAAACATGTCTGCTGGTGTGACGCCTGTTTTCAGCCGTTAGCTAACGAGCTTGTTGAGGCCGTTCAACAAACCATCTACAGCAGGTAAAATGTTGATTATTTATAACTTTTACACACTTCGAACTGGACAAACTATTGGTTCAAAGAGTTATTAATCTTTTTGTTCCATGTTTCAACTTTAAATAAGTTTAGAAATGTTCAATAGATCCTCTCGAGTGTGATGGAGTCGCTGCTTCAACACTGAATTTGTTTCTGATATAAAAAATATGTTTTGGTTTTATTCAGTTTTATAGCAACAAGTACAACAGAGGTTAAAATGTATTTATTTTATCAGGGAGCGATAAGTGTGTATAACAGTGTCATATGAAATTAACATTATTCACAGTAGTTTATCTTAAATTTAAATGAATTTATAATCTGTAATCTCAGTTTATATAATGTCACAGGTTTATTTTCAACTCTGTGCTCCTATTGGTAATCTGTGTTTTTTTTACTGTAGTTAAACTCATCTTCAGAATGATCATTTCCATCATGATAGATCAATTAAAAGTAATTTTTGCTCCCTGAAGTTAAAGAATGATGATATATATTTTTTAAATATCTGTATGCTGGTGAAGAATACTATTTTAATAAAATAACACGTTTAAAGATGTAAAATACAGTTTGTTCTTTGTGTTTAGGCTCTGATTCCTTCCATGATCATGTTGCACAACAAAGAGATTAAAATATGTATTTTTTATTATAGACGTCTTTTTCCAGCTGCAGTGAAATCACGTGAAGCTTCGTCATCACTTCATCACTCAGGCCGGTGTGTCGACGACAGGAAACAACGAGCAGAACACGCGAACGTGTAGAATTGAATATTTTTCAGTCAAACAGCAGGAAATGTGAACAAATAGAAATATTTGAAGCAGAAGTGAAACAGAAGCTACTCGGGTCCCGCGGCCCCCGCAGCCACGACATCTCACTGTTTCTGTGCCAGACTTTAAAGACAAACATGTTTATTTTAGAACAGGACATTCCAGAGTTGTGGAGGACACAAGTTCACCGAGTGTGGGAAGAATAACCGACTCAGTTTGATTCAGATTTGTCCGTGTCCATGTTCTGGAACGCTTCATGTGTTTCCCAGCTCACATTTGTTCCATATCTCGGTCTACAGCAGCGTTTCTACATTTCAGAGTCCTGGTGATGATTAAAGAGGCTCCACAACAGCAGACGTGCTCAGACGAGAACAATAAGACAAGAACAATAAGACAAGAACAATAAGACAAGAACAATAAGACAAGAACAATAAGACAAGAACAATAAGACAACGTTGTTTAAAAAAAACAACTCGTAAATTGAACTTGTCGTTTGTTACTTTACATTTTTACTCATCGATTACAGTTTATATGAAGTTGATGAAGATCAAATATGCAACAAATGAGATGGTTTAAAACAAATGTTTGATATTTTGTGTTAAAGCAAAAATATTTCAACATCACACAAAATAATACAATGATCCATCCATCCATCCATCCATCCATCCATCTGTCCATCCATCTGTCCATCCATCTGTCCATCCATCCATCCATCCATCCATCCATCCATCCATCCATCCATCCATCCATCCATCTGTTCATCCATCCATCTGTCCATCCATCTGTCCATCTATCTGTCCATCCATCCATCCATCTGTCCATCTATCTGTCCATCCATTCATCCATCTGTCCATCCATCCATCATCTGTCCATCCATCATCTGTCCATCCATCCATCCATCCATCTGTGCTTTTATCCATTATGTGTGATGTGAGTTTGTTTTTACATAGATGATAAAATTCAATAGTTATATTTTTATTGTGATATAGTAGACCATACATTTTATTTGGGTCATCTGTTTTACTTTTTTTTTTTTAAATCACTAAACAAGTTAAAAATGTTAGATCTGAAATAAAATGAAGTTTAGTTTTCTGTTCCATGCAAAGACCATCTTCCTGTCAGCCTTGGTATGTCAGAGTTAAAAATGCTCCCAGTAACGTTCCAGTAATCTGCAGAGCGTCACCCAACACCCCCTGAGAAGAGCTGTGCTGTCAGGGACCTGCAGGGAGCTGAGCCCAACAGCCACAGCAGGAGCAAACACAGCTCATGGTGCCACTGGTGCAGGCAGGACGACTGCAGCTGGAATTCAAGTTATTCTTATTTTTACAGACAGTGGATGTGCAACTATACACACTGATCATTATCCTGATTTATAAAACAGCAGGTGTACGGTTACACAGAAATATACTGCAATGAAAACAAATCACACCAGATTCTGGGTTACTGTTTATGTGCAAAAACATAAAGCTGTAGCTTCATATAAAGAATTTCCATATTGCATTTTTTTAACAGGAAGTAATTATTATAGTTTTTTTATTTTTATACACATTGGAAAAAAATGTGTTAAAAAACATCAAATGGAACTGAAGCTTTGGATGAAGTGATTAAAGCTTAGGATCAGACATTTGTACATTTAGACAGCAGGACCATGAAGACGGTGTTTTGTCTGAATGGCGTCGGTGACGTCATCGTTGGGGCGGAGTCATGTGGGTGCAGCAGAGAGGCTGAATCAGCTGCAGCATCCTGAGAGGGAGAGGTGTGTCTGCAACAGCGGAGCTGCAGACAGACCAGGGGACAGACACAAAGACAGGAGGACAGACTGAAGACAGGAGGACAGACTGAGGACAGGAGGACAGACTGAGGACAGGAGGACAGACTGAGGACAGGAGGACAGACTGAGGACAGACTGAAGACAGTCTATCATGGCGTCAAAGTGTCCAAAATGCGACAAGACGGTGTATTTCGGTGAGTTTCCGGCAGAGATGCCGGCTGTCGGGGTGGTTGGGGGGGGGGGGGGGGGACGAGATCGGCTGGGGGGTGGGTGGGGGGGGGGGGGGGGGGGGGGTAACCTTTCTGTTCGTTGATGCTTTCAGTCAGCTGAAGCTCATTTAGTCATAATTTATCAATCATATCGGTGAATGATGGGAGTTTGTGATTATACCCACTATATATATATATATATATATATATATATATATAACTTTACAAGAACAGCAAATAAATCTCTTGATTGAATAATTGTACATTAATATGTCTATTCAATATTTATATATTTGTTAGAAATAAGCATTTCATGTTGATTGAAGTCTTTTATTTAAATATGAATAAAGCAGTGTATATTTAAATATGGTTGGGATGGTTGTCAAATGGTTCTTTCCAGTGACAATGGATCAAATTTATTTATTTTCTGAATTTAAACATAATCAAATGACAAGCCTGGGATAAACTTAACAAGTTTGGAGTATAATACTCTGAATTTTGTGGACACAAAAATATATATATTTTAAATAAAATCATCATCTTGTGTTCAGTTTCCTGTTCAAAGCATTTAGTGCTTTATATTTCTGCTGTGCTAAAAATAGCCAGTGAGACAATTACAGCATCAATCAGAGTTTAATTATATACACCCGTCAGCGTGCGTGTATATTAGTGATACACGGGGGCTGATTATGGGATCAGATGAGGAGGGAAACGAGGATGTGTTGACTTCAAGGCATCAGCTCTTTTTCACAGAGCAGAGTCGCTGTGATGGATCATTTAATTTCCTGTGTGCTTCTTATGAGACACCAGAATAAGATCCCATCAAGGTTATTAGTTTTGGATTTTTATATTGAACAAACCACAGAAAAAATGACATTTTACTTAAATATGAAGTCAGAAGTATAAAACTTTTACCATAAGACCGTATTTACTCCGCTTGTTCAACTCAAAGGGTCCTCCCCCAGAAAATGTTGAATAAATGCCATCTCCTGCTTTCTGTTGTATTTTAACAGGTTGTTAAACATCTACGTTTACCTGCATAAATAAACACTTGATTCAATAACTATTGTAGCGAGCGCTGCACAACAACTAGTGGCGCTAAGCTAGCGGCGTGCAATACAGATGTGCTAGCTAAGATACTAGCGTAGCGCTCTCCTTTAAATGACACACTGCTCACAGGGCTTTATCCGTCTTTTTACATTTTTCCAGACTCAGTTTAGGTTTTGGAAATGGAATAAAGTGTATAAATCAGGGATCTTCAACTAGTGGGGGCCACAGTTACTGAAGTCCAGCAGCTCAGGGGCCGGAGCAGTTAGTCATTATGTAAATAAACCAAATCTGTTCCCTTTTACATTTGTTAATTTGGTTGCAATGAATCATAAATGCTGTAAACAGAACCCCAAACCCAGAACAGCCCCCAGATTTTTACATTTTTATTTTGTTTTACTTTATTTTTCAGGGGTGCTGAGTTAAAATTCAGGCGTGCTTGACCACTCACAAAAAGAGGCTAAAATCCCCACTGGTTTGCTCCCTCCATTGCTGTTTTTTGAATTTCAGCAGAAAGCAGTGGTCTGAAGCACTGTTGGCTTCTGGGTAGTGTAGTTCTTTTGACTGGCGTTACAGTGAAGGCTTATTGAAAGAAAACTACAAAATAGTGGCGCCTGTCCAAAGTATTGGTTTTATTTTTTTATTTTTTGTCCTATTGGTTTGTTCCCGTTCTTATCCGCTCTCGCTAACTTTTCATCCCGTACCGTCCCAATCACGTGAGGAATATAAAGTTGACAATTGTGTCGTGTTCAGTCTTTTGTTGAAAACCCGCGAAAGTTGAATCGCAAAGTGTTGAGGGATACTGTATATAGAGACACTAACGGGAGGATGAACACAAACACCTGGGGAAGGACAACAGGTGAGGCAGGAGCTGATGACATGAAGGGGAAACACTGAGGACAGGACAGACGACACAAGGATCACTAATCGCACACAGATCCTCTCAACACCCCAACTTTATTAAACGGGGGAGCAGCTGCTCCACTGAGGAGACGCCTTCGCTCAGAGGTGGATCGTTTAGTTTCTGCACACATTTAAAATTATATAAAACATGTGAACGGCTTGTTTAGGAATAAAACACAGGATCTTGTTTAGTTTTATAAAAACCTGCAGATCAAACTGAACTTAAATGACTGAAAGTCAAACCTTTAATTCTGTGACTTGAAACAGAAGCCGACTGTGTCCTGCTGCTGAGGACGTCCAGGGACGTGTGACAAAAAGCTGAGACGTCCTTGCACGAACTCACAGCTGAGGGCCGCGGATGTTCTGGCGTTTCACATGCGAAGAGAAAGTGGCAGTTTTTCTGCCAAACGGATCCAGAGACGTTTCAGCTGCAGCTTCTCGGACTCTAATAACCAGTTTGTTCTGCCTCTGCTGCCCATTAGGCTCTACTGGTTTCACTGTGTTTGGATCAGATTACAGCAGCCATTAACGGCCCGTTCACTGCTGGAAGAAAAGGTTTTCTGGGCCCATAGGTTTAAACACAGTGAGCTGATTTATTCTGTGTGACGCCATATTGGTAAATAATTAACTGATCGCACATTTGTTTTATGGATCGACTCTTTTTGCTCTTCCTCTTCATTTCCCTGGAGAACAAACCCCCCCACACACCCCCACACACCGCCCGCAGCCTAAACCAAACAGTTCTGCTCTCTTATCTAATAAATAAAACTTTTCAGTAAATCTGATGATTCTAAAAATGTGCATCTTAAAAGGAACTTGTTCTCCATTATGCATGTTGTTATGGTGCACCCGCAGAGGAAATTAACAGTTTGGTCTAAAATACTTAATTTTTCATAAATTATAAATAAGCATTGACCTCATTTTGTGTTGATGCATTGCAGCTTTTACACGTGTGTAAACCCATGGTTTGAATAATAAAACAATGAGCATAGGACGCATAAATAAACTGCTTGATATTTGTTAAAAAAAAAAAATACAGTAAATAAAACTAGAGATTTGCTTCAAATATATTTTGTGAATTATTGGCGTTTAATTTGGGTGAAATTATGAACAAATAAAATAAAACGGAACAAAAGCTTAAATGAGCAGAAAACGCTCAAATGTTAAAGTTGGGCATAACAGTTTAAAAAGAAATCAAACGAACAAGATTGTGTACAGGCTAAAATGAGCTAAATCATAAAATATGCCAAGATTAGCAAAACTGTAGCTAAATGCTAACATTAGTAAAGTAGTAGCTAAAAGCTAAATTTTTCACAAAAAACAGTACTAATAGCTAAAATAAGCAGAGCTGTTTTTAAAACTAAACTCAGCAAAATTGTATATTCAAGATAAAACTAGTAACAGTAAAAGCTGCTAAATCCAAATACTTCTCTGATATAATTACCTCAAACTCTCACAACCCACGTGTCCTCTTCTCCACCCTAAACTCTGTTCTCCACCTCACTGAACCATCACCTCTGGAAGCCTCGACTGAGCTGTGCGACAACTTCTTACATTTCTTTTTGGAAAAAATTGCGACCACCCGGGCTCTCATTTCCCCTCCAACTCATGACCCATCCATCCCACCTCAATCTGTAGCTCTATTTGACCATTTTGAACCCATCACTCTATCTTCTCTAGAGCAGGTCATGTGCAGCTTGAAACCTTCTGGCTCCCCCTTTGATGTGGTCCCCCCTTGACTACTAAAGGAGGTTTTTCCAACTCTAGGTCCGTCCATTCTTGCCATAGTAAACAGTAGTTTATCCACTGGTGTGGTGCCAAAATCCTTTAAACATGCTGCCGTCCAGCCTCTCTTGAAAAAAAACAAACCTTGACCTCTCAGTCGTGTCCAACTTCCGGCCTGTCTCCAAACTCCCATTTGTTTCTAAAGTACTGGAGAAAATAGTCGAGTCCCAGTTGAAGTGCTTCCTGGAGGATCACACTATCCTAGAGCTTTTCCAATCTGTCTTTAAACCTCTCCACCGTACTGAAACTGCCCTGCTGAAGGTTTTTAACGACATCTTCAGATTCACAGATACAGGTGATTCTGTGCTGCTTGTCCTGTTGGACCTCACAGCCGCCTTTGACACCATCGACCATGAGATCCTCATTGCTAGGTTGGTGCAGTGGGTGGGCGTCACAGGATCAGCCCTCAATTGGTTCAGATCTTACCTCACTGACCGATCCTTCTGTGTCTGCATCAAGGATTTTAGTTCTGCAGCGGCAGAGCTTAAATGGGGAGTTCCGCAGGGGTCCATCCTGGGTCCCCTCCTATTCTCTTTATACCTGCTGCCAGTTGGTGCTATTTTCCGGAAACACAACATGCCCTTCCACTTCTATGCCAATGACTGTCAAATTTACTTCCCCCTAAGACACAATGGTACATGCTCTATTCAGCCTCTGCTCGACTGCCTGGCTGACATCAGGGACTGGATGGCTTTAAACTTCTTAAGTTTCTATGAAAAGAAGTCTGAAGTCATGTTGTTCCCTCCCAATGACACGATCACAAACCACTGCATCGACCTTTCTGCTCTAACCCTGTCAGAAAAACAAAGAGTCACTAATCTGGGAGTGATAATGGACCCTTCCCTGAAACTTAACAACTTCCAACTGAGGCGGCTGTCTAAACTGAAGCCCATATTGTCCAAAAAGAACCTGGAGACAGTAATACATGCATTCATTACATCTAGGCTTGATTACTGCAATTCGCTCCTGTTTGGTATCAGTCAGACCTCCATTGCATGACTACAACTGGTCCAGAATGCAGCAGCCCCATTTTTAACCAGTACAGGCAAAAGAGAGCACATTACACCAGTTTTGGCCTCACTGCACTGGTTACCGGTTCACTTTCGAATCCAGTTCAAAATACTCATGTATGTCTACAAATCACTGAACAGTTT